CACGTGTACATGTGCACATGCACATGGTGCCCCTGCCTGACCGCCCTCCTCCCGCTCCCCCCATCCCCTTGCAGGCTGGAACTCTGCCAGATTTCCCATGTTTTTCTCCTTTAAAGGAGCAAAATCTGGGTTTTCCCCCTTAAAATGAGAAAAATCCAGGTTATACTGTGTTTTTCTGTGGTGAATGGAAAATCTGATCCTTGGTTATCAGTGAGACTACTGATGTTAGGAGCTGGGAAGGAGAGAGGGCTTGAACACAGATGATACCATGCCTTCAGAAGCTATTTTCAGCCAGTGCTACTTTAATTGGTTCTCCCGAGGTCTACTGGAGACCTATCTGTCTCAGAAGTCATAAGTAGAAGAACTGAACCTTGAGGCTAAGTACAGATAGCCAAAAAGCCCGAGGCTGAATCGATTCAATCTTCACAGGTTAGTCTAAACTGCGTAGATTGAACTGATAAGCAAGTGAACAGACATTCACTTTTGAGTCTGGAAAAGCAGCCATGTGCCTGCAATGGCCTAGGCCAGAACCTGCGGGGGCGCTAGAACATGCCTCCCTGCTCATCAGCTGGAGTAGACAGCTTGGGCCAAGGCTAGCCTGCCCACCCTGCAAAGGAGAGGAGAAGGTGTAGGGAAGGTGCAAAGCATCCTGGGATGCTGGGGGACTATGAGTTAACTTGGATCTGGGACAGAAGTTCAATTAAGTGATTTAACTTAAATCAGTTAAGTCTGCTACTACATCCATCCAGCTTTATCTTAAACTGCTTTCAGCCATTTTGAACGTGGTTTAGGTGCACTGAACTTCTGTTGTGTTCGAGATTTGAACCGGTTTCTGATTACTTGCACTGTTTTACATGTAATTTCTGTCCCTAGCCCTTGTCTGAGGTATCTACATGAGTCCCCATTAGTACCTGAGCTCCTCACAATCCAGAATGGATACCAGTGATATAAAGGAAGTGCTACAATCCTTACTTCACAGATGGGGAGTGGAAGCAAAGTGAAACTCCTGTGGACACATAATACATGTATAGTAAATTGACTTAATAGAATCTGATGAAGCAGGCTGTCGCCTATGGAACTGCAAGCCTCTGAACGAGTTAGTGTCTAAGGTACCACCTGGCCCTACCTTCAGCCTCCATCAGTGATTCTCTACCAGGGTGCTGGGGCTCCTGGGGTGCCGTGAGATCTTTTCCAGGGTATCATGGGGTGCTATGCAATGTTAGCTTTGCAAACATGATTCACCAGATAAAACCAGAGATTTCCAACTGAAATCCATAGCTGTGGCCTTTCTGAGATTTTTGCAACTGAAAAAACTCCTCTATTATTTTTCTATAGGCAAAAAAAAAAAAGTGAAAACTAAGAGCCGGCATTTTCTGAGGGGTGCCCTAAGATTGAAATGGTTGAGAATCACGAGCCTACACAGTCAACGTGGAGCAGACATACTACCCACCACCTTACTCTGAAATAACTTTCAGAGCCAGTTTCAGAGGGGTAACTTTAAGGGTAAAGTTTCCCTTTGAAAAATATGTAGTACATAAGTGACTTTGCTCGCTCACCCAGTTTCATCCTGATGCAGCACTCAGCTCCATCCAGGCTGGCTCCTGCGTCACCTAGCGGCCCAGTGATGTAACGATCATGCCTTTGCTGGCCATGTGTGTCTGCTCCTTCCTTCAGAGTCTGTTTACCATGGTACAATCTATGACAAATTATTTTGAAGCAAAACGGTGTCATGTCTACACCCTGAGATCCAGATCCCAACAAGAGTTAGGCGCCTAACTCCAATTTAAGCACCCAACTCCCACTGAAATCTGGGCTAAGCCAATGGCCAGGGTCATTTAGAAAGTTTGTGGTACTGCAAGGAATTCAGTCTGCCTTTCCCCACTACTGGTCTGATGATGGGACCTTCATCTCTACACCTACAGCTGCTTGAAAACTGGGATTTGTTTGCTTCTTGGAAAATCAATCTTTGTTTCTCATCCAAAAAGTTTGCATTCTAGCTTAGGGGTTTTCTTATAGAAGCTTCTTAATGTAGACCTGCCTTGTAGGCTTATTAGTTTCTGGATAAGGGGGACATTTTTTAAAGTTCCTGAGGGATTCAGGAGCAGGAATCTTATTTGTTGCCAGTGGGACTTTTCCACCAGAATCCCACGAGTGATTTCGAAAATCTGCCCCTAAATTCTTTCCAAAAACAACACATCCATTGAATCATTTAATCACAGAAAATGAGGGTGGGAAGGGACCTCAGGAGGTCACATCTAGTCCAACCCCCTGCTCAAAGCAGGACCAATCCCAACTATCTCATCCCAGCCAAGGCTTTGTTGAGCCGGACTTAAAAACTTCCAAGGATGGAGATGTCACCACCTCTCTGGGTGACCTCTTTCAGAGCCTCACCAAAGTTTTTCCTAATATCCAGCCTCAACTTCCTTTGCTGCAACTTGAGCCCATTGCTCCTTGTCCTGTTGTCTGCCACCCCTGGGAACAGTTTAGCATCCAGTAGCGAGCTAAGTTGCTGTTATGTGCCTCTCCCCCACCTTGACCTCTGCACCTTTCTCTGAATTTTCTGTTGTATGCATAAATGAGACTTCACAAATGACTGTGAGAGGCCACAGGCATGCGGCATGTCTTACTCCTTCCAGGAATGCAGTGAAGGGTAACATCTGGGACATCTTGCACCAGCCAGAGACTTGAAATACAGGCCTTTTTTTTTTTTCACTTTGCATTTGCCACAAAGTAGTGCTTTAAATAGATGCACACACAATGCTAGGTTTCCACACCACCTACGTGAGCTCCATCACAGCCACTGAAGAAACGCTTTGTCAGCATGCCCTACATTCGATGCTGACTGGGGCTGACAAATGCATGGGAAGGGAAAGAGTAGGGAAGAAACCGCAATGAAGACCACATCTGATTTCCTCTTGCTAATAGTTACTTTATACCCTCAGCCACCAAATGAACGTATGCCTTGTTCCCCTTGTTCTTATGCAGGGCCGAAAATCTGCCTGTTCATGTGTTGCAGTTTTCAGCTACAGACCTCTGACAACTGGAGGGAATCAAAAAAAAAAAGGAGCTCTCTGAACCAGTTTGACATTTTGAAGTCATTTCCCCCTCAGCAGGGTTCTAAGTAGGCCTTTTTATTTTTAGTTAAAAAAAAAAGAAATGTTTTAATAATATATACTTGCAAAAAATATTGCTTTAAAAAAATGGAAGGAGCCGATTTTCTGAAGCAATTTGGCAAAAAAGAAGGAAAAAACAGGGAACAAAGAAAGTTGTTGGGAAAAGCGAAACGGCTACATACATGCAGTTTATTTGCATTAAAATTGTTATTCAACTATGGAAGCAGATTTTATTTTCATGAAAGTGCCCAATTTGAGAGCCACTTTCAATAAAAAAGCGGTTGTTTTATTGCAAGAGCTAGTCAAATTGCACAATATGGGTGCTTTTAAGTTCTCAGGGAGAGACATGGATGCAGCTAGGATTTTGAAAAGGCGGGGGGCAGGTGGTGTGGTGCATTGTTACATAACACAACATGCATTTTTCTCCAGTAAAAGAAACACTGGGATAATTGGTGATATGCTGGGGGACCAGCACTATATTATCCAGTTTGAGATCAAAGGAAAAACAACTACACATTTACTTGAACGTGCACTAATTTACTAGAGTCTATGTTGAGTTTAAAAAACACAACTAATTGGACCAAAACAGTCAAAAGCTATTGTTTTATTAGTCCTGTAGTCATTATAGCTAAATGGGCATCTCTTATTCAGATTCCTAAAACACAGCCTGGCTTTCTTGAGCATGTTGACTGTGTACCTGGCCCTTCACAGTTAGTCACTTCCAAATATGAGCGAATGTTCACCTGAGTTAATATTAGCACACCGAGTTAAAGTTTTTAACTAGAACTACAATTGTCTGCAGGACTGGGAAGAATGCTATTACCAGGCATAGCTAATGCACAGCAGAACTGCAGAAGAAAGGATAACTTTATTAATGGGACATCAAAACCATTCAAAAAGAGAGAGGGAAGAAAAATTGCCAGAAATCTGGTAGATTATAATGAAATCAATGGACTCCCTCAGCACTGCCTACATGCCAGTGGCACTGTGACTCCCATATAGTTCATTTTAAAATTTGGGTGGAGCAGGAGTCAAACTGGGGCTGCAACTGCCCTGCCCCCCGGATCCACCCGTGGGGAGAGAGATCTTCGATACCTGCCTTTAATATGTATAGTTAAAAAAATGGAGCATTTCCCCTGCCCTTGAAACCATATTACAAGCAGTATTCATTTATTAGGCTACTTGAGTAGGTAGCCTACATCATCCATGCTATTTAATTGGTATGATATTTAACCTGTCTGATTTTTTTCCTAAGATCAGGAGAAAAACTTTAAAAAAAGTCCAACACAGCTGACTTAATTCACCAGATCTTTATTTCACATGCATAAATTTAAAAAAAACCCAACCACCCAGTTACATGATTCTGCCTCCCAGCAATTACTGTGACATAAACAGAATGATGTAAATTAGATGATGTAAGCAGAGATGCAAAAATATAACATGTCTCCCTACTATTTTCCTGGGGTTTTATACAGGTAGTTACATCCGTGCCCAGTGGTTTCTTACATGTTCTGCCTCTGTTTGCAGCATAAGAAAGAAATGCACCTATTTAGTCTCATCCAATTACAGATAGGAACATTTCCTTTGTTTGTTTTTTAAGCACCTAAAAATTTCTGGGTCTTAGCTGTAGATGTAGGCTGATTTTTGTAAGGTTCTTCCTAAGGCAAGAGCTAGGGAAATATTTCACAATTAACAAACATGTAGGAAAAGCTGCTGGGAAAAAAGTGTGGAAATGTTCCCTTCTTTTTCAATGAACTTGAGGCTATGGGAATTTCTCAAGTCAGAATTTCAATATCGCGGTGGGGATTTAAGTGATGCTAATGCCCTTTCTTTGTACTTGCTCTCTTTGACTCTGGCTAATCATAAAGGCCTGGCTGAGTTGGAGCGTCCAACTCTTTCCAATGGGAGTTTGACTAGGCTTTATGAACCCATGGTGACCACTCAGATGACAAATCCTTCCTGCCCTACTGGCTTCTCTCAGGATTGGTGTTGGATGAGGGGCGTCACGCAGGTGCAGCCCACAGTGATGAGCTGTTTCTCCAGGCGGTAGACATGCTGACAGTCCCTCAGCTTCCGTCGGAGGACCAGGATCTCCTGCCGAATGGGGACAGAGTTCACGCTGTAGTCCTCCCGGCCCGTGGAGTCCACACAGCTGTAGTGGCGGCATTTGGCCTCGACGATCACCTGGGGGAACCTGTTGGGATCCTTGGTGATGCTGTGAATCAAAGCACAGGGATTACAAGGTGTTTGAAGCACAGCCCTGGCACCGTTCAAAGGATGATGTCCTGAATTACCAAGGCCTTGCACCCAAGGAGCCTGAAGCTCAGCCAGTTCTTGCTCTGTCTATAACTCAGACATGATTTGCAATTCCCTCCCTGAAATGCACTTCTTGCCATGGTTCGTAGATTCAGTTTGGTATTGGCTCAGCTTCTGAGCTCCTGTAATGTGGACTTCACAAGGCTAGTTTCAGTGGAAGTTTGGCTTGATCAGGGGTTGCCTGAATCAAAGCAAAGCCATTTGGTCAAACATCCCCACATTCCCACAACATGAACTACTCTTAGGGTCAGATCCTAACTCCATTAAACTCCCAGTGACTTAAATGATATTGGACTGTGATCTTAAGACATACTAATAGACTCCTTGGGAGGCATGGTTTGTGGTTCATAGGGTTCCTAGGTGTGCCCACACTACTAATTAATGATAATAATTAATAAGTGGCTATTTTATTATTGTCTGTAGTGGAACATCCTTACATGGGCTTTAATGAGAAATGTTGGACAATGGGTCCATCTGCAGATTCCTAGCCAAATCTTTGGAGAAGAGAGTGCGTTTCCAAATGAAAAGGATGTAGATTGTACCTGTAATTCCATGGAGACAAAGACCGGAGATTGACATCCTGAGCCATTTTAGTGGTATCGTTCATGTTACTGATGTTGATGCTGACTTCCACACTTGTAGGGAACAGGGAGTCTGTTTCGGTTGGGCAGTCATTCCTCGTTTTCTGCTCTGAGCCTCTCACTTTGTTGAGTTGAGGCCCTACTGCCCTGCCACGGGCTGAATTCCTGGTTGAGAGCATCAGGATTAACACTAGGAGTAATGAACTGAACTGAATAAGAGAAACAACACTATTGGTTAGTTCAGAACCAGACTACACACGTCCAGCAGCAAGTTGCACAATCCCATTCATCCACACTCAACTATATCGGTAGTTTTTAGGTTCAGAGACTGATACAAAAAAATAAAGAGAGAAAACTGAAGGTATGTCTATACCATCGCTTCAACAGGTCTTGACTGGGCCTCTTCTAAACAAGTCCTACCTGCCCATGCTTGGAACCTGGAAATGATCTAGTGGATCTACACTGGGACTGCCTCAGTGGTTCCTCTTGGCTAGGCTGAAGACTGAAGAGTAACCTCCTGTGACTGAACAGAAACCATGGTATTGCTCATATGCTTGCATGGGTACGTTTATACATATTGAATTGGGTCCAGAGGCAGCACCAAAGATGGGCAAGGGCTTGGAAGGAGGGGACATGATAGCAGTCTTCAAATACTTGAAGGGCTGCCATAAATAAGAGGGAAAGCATCTTTTCTCTCTTGTTGCAGAGAGGAAGATGAGGACCAATGACTTGAAGTTGCAGCAAAGTAAGTTTAGATTGGATCCATGGAAAAAATAAACTTGTTCACTGTGAGAACAGTGAGTCAGTGGACTAGATTCCTAGGGAAGTGGTGGGATTTCCATCACTGGAGGTGTTCAAGAAGAGGTTGGACAGCCACTGGTTGGGGATGATTTAGGCATAGCTATACCTATGTTCTACCATGGGTATTTCCCATACTCCTGGGCTTTGCTGGTTGCTCACTCCATACCTCCTTTTTCTGCTATATGTGTCAGGGTGTTTTTAAGCCTCCCCAGAGGGCAGTCTTATGTAGAGTTTTGAACATGGTTGTATAGGATGGTTTGGATAGGGCTGATCCTGCCTCAGGCAGGGAGTTGGACTAGATAGGACCTCTGGAGGTCCCTTCCAGCCCCACTTCTCTAGCCTCTATGGAAATGTAAAGGTAAATCCATAGGAAGATACACACCTTTGCCAAGTGTTAAGGACTGGGAATGAGGTATTCTGGGTTCTTTTTGCAGGCCAAACCTGTGCTGGTATAAATGAATACGGTTTTGTTCAGTTCGCTGGATTTTTGCCCATATACCCACACAGAGGATGTCTCTCCTAAGAGTGCAGATGCACAGCATGATTGCCACACAGTGATTTATCCACATTTTACTCAATCATAAGGGGCAGACACAGGACCAACTTTCACAAGGTGGCAGCTGAAGTCGGCGCTATTACACCACCTGGTCAAGAGGTACTAGGGGAGCTGGTTTGCCTCGGGCAAATCACTGTTCTGGAATGAAACTTATGATAGTAGTGGGCACACAACACACCCACTGGTGCAACTTCCTTCAGTGTAAATTTGCTTTTGGTTTTCTTAGAAACAGTGTTTCTGATGGAATAAATGCTATGTTGCATCTCTGCCTACTTTTTCTTTGGAGTAAATTGAGAATCCTCTGGAGCAGGGGTGTCAGAGGTACAGCTGGCAGACTGGGTCTGACCAATAGAAGTGGGTCATCTGGCCTACACCTGCCTCCGAATTTGCTGTGGTGACAGTGGGTCAGCAAATGGCAGGGGACTTCATTCCTGCATGCTGGCTGTGCTGACACAGTGGCTTTGGCTGGATCTGGAGACAAGTCATCCAGCAAACAAGAAGCCCCATGGTTTGGATTGGGCCTGATAATTATATTAGAGTTGGATACCCATGCTCTAAAATAAATGTGACGTGTTGGCACGCTTCTCTGATTTTTGTGTGTGGCCAGCTTGTCAAAGGCTGATGGGAGAAACATCAAACATCATTTCCCCTAAGACCTAAACCAAGCAGAGTCAAAAGTCTATGTTATTAGAGTATAATTTGGTAGTATAAAGAAATTCCAGGTCATATCATATCATATCATATCATATCATATCATATCATATCATGTTGCATTGCATTGCATTGCATTTAGCAAACAATTTAGCATAAAAGAAATCCAACTTCAGTAGAAGCACACTTCCTGCCTTTCCTACTTTAGGATACATAGAACAAAATAATATAGACAAATGATCCAGGCCACTCATAGCACGCTATTGAATCTGCTTCTGAACCTTAGAATGAAAACAGAAGTTAATATTTTATATCGGTAACTAATTAGTGAGATCATGTATCTGCGTGCGCTCTCTTTCTCTGGCTTCCTTGTTTAATATTAAGGTGTGATCTTTTTAACAGTTAAGCCCAAGGAAATACCCAAACCGAAAACTTTGTTATTACTGAAAATGTATATCAGCAACTAAAATATAACCCTAGAGCATTGTAATCATCTTAAAACAATTACATTCTTAGTAAATTTAGCATTGCAATACAAAAAAATGCACAGTGTAGGTCACCAGAATAAGCATGACTCTGCCCAATGTTATAGGCATATGTTTTTAGTATTGCTGGCCCCAAATCAGATTATACTGATTTTTACAGCCAGGCTTAAGGTCAGGTGATCTGAAATAGCAACCACAAAGTAAAGGTTTTGCAGTCAGATTTAACAAGCAAACCCAGTACTCACCAGTGCAGGGCTCCTTATGAATGCCTTCATATTGCAAGCTCTTGTGTTTTGCCTGTCTCTGTTCATTCACATCAGGGCTTTTTATAAGGACTGTGCTATTGTCATAGTTTCCATTGGAGGAGGTGGTCCTTTCCAACCTTATCTGTGATTTAACATCTAGGTTTAATTTTAAGAAAAATTCCCTGCAAGAGAGGTCACATGAGAGAGAGACAGGAAGCAAAATTATTGGGGTCATTATCAAACCTTGTTAACTGCTTGTATCATAATCCTTGACAAAGGAAAAAATGAGTGTTCTCAAAATCAGATGTGCTGTGCTGTGCTGATCTGAAATAAGATTAGGAGCTGAATGAATTCACTCAACGATGATTATAAAACTGAGGAACGTCCCTGAGATCTAAACTGAGGCACGTCCCTGAGACGCTTCTTGCATTATAGAAGCTATAGGGTCATAGGAATGACTATGTTACAATAGGATAATCAAGTAGTCCAGCGGTTCCCAAATTCTGACAGATTGCCCACCACCAGTTTTAAATGATACAACCTTAAGTACCACCAGCCTTTTTTTTCAGTTCAACCTTACGTGTCACCAGCCAACTTTTGTCATATAAAGTAATTATAATGCATCTGTGAATGCGTACCACTGATCGGTTGTCTGCGCACCACTGGTACCAGAGATTGGGAACCGCTGACGTAGCCAACACCTTGTCTGCCACAGCCAGCAGCAGATACTTCTGAAGAAGTTATGATACAACTTTCCTTTAAGGAAACAGAAATCTAGGGTTGGAAGGGACCTCAAGGATCATCGGGTCCAACCCCCTGCACAAATGTAGAGATGCTATCCCTAATCATACCTCTCCAAGACTCATCCTGTCTCCTAAAAACCTTCAGTAAAGAAGATTCTACAATTTCCATTTGCAGCCCCTTCTACTGCCTCACTTTTTTAACAGCAAAGATTTTCCTGAGATCTAACTTAAATCTTCTTTACTGCAAGTGTTTTTGTCCAAGTCCCCAGACATCAGCTTTTGTTATTCTCTCTGACATAGGTGTGTTTCGATTCCTCCCACCCCTCTTGATTTCTTTTGTCAGTCTTTTCCCCCGTAGAAATATCCACTCTCTCTCAGCCCTGCTGAATGCATTGTCTTGGTATCTTGAGGCAATGAGTTCCACGGGTTAACAAGCCACAGCGTGGAAAAGCACTTCCCTCTCCCAGTCTGCTTCTGCCACCCTTCTGTTCACTGATGCCCACTAGTCCTTGTACGGTGTGACGGGGAGGACAGACACGTTCACAGCATGCTTTTGCCATTGCATTCATTTGGAATAATCTCTCTCTGTTATGCTGTCACCTTTCACTGTGGTGTCTGCTTTTGGTGTGAAATCAATAGAAATAGTGAAGTCCCTTTGGCAGAGCTTTAGGGAAGAGCGGTGGCTGTGTCTCCCAGGTGACCCAGTTATGGACCAGGACCTTATTGCATTATATAGGCACAGGACCAAAGAGCTGTTCCCATCTTTCAAGCTCATTTTTTCCAAACAGGAAATTTTTGTAGTGTTTCTTCAAAGTACTCAGGTGAAAGACGTTTCTGGAGACAGATTGCATGGCTGGGTCCCTTGGACTGAGAACGTCCCTTCTACTTTCTCCGGCAAACAGTCCTTTTTTCACAGCTCCTCAACCCAGACATTTTCCAAAAAAGGCTGCCTATTCACATGTGAGAGAAGAGTCCTTGCAAAATGGTGCTAAGAGCCGATGCAATCATTATTCAGGCCACTGGTCTTACCCCTTCCAGGGTAGGTAATGGGGCTGGAGGGGCAAATCAGGTAAGAAATAGGCCACTGCAGATCTACTGAGCCTACTAGCAGGGGAAGAAGGGGAAAGCTTGAGGGGCCCTATCCAGCCAGAACAGGACATGCTGACCATCCTGGGAGGGCTTGAAGCTGCCAGGGTATCAGACCGGGTGGGGCACTGAGCATCTTCCATGCACGCTGAAGGTGTAAGAAGCTGAAAGTGCCCAACGTCACAGCCCCGAGGATCGTATCTCTACACACAAATGACAATATAGTGGCTGCCTGGATAGATAAGATTGCCCGACTACAAAGCTGGTAAGTCAGTTTTCTTTCTTTGCAGCCTGTCTCCCTCCAGTGTCCCTCTACCGGCTTGTAATGTACCTTGTCACTGTAGTGGGCGCATGACACGTACCCCATTTAATGCAAACCTGCTTTCAGGCGAGTCTCTGCTTCATCTTCCTAGTAGTTTGTCCCTGACTTTTATCATTTGGTGGTCAGTCAGCGTTGTCTGAGGTTGAACTGTCCTGGTGGAAGGCTGAATTTTCTTTTGGCTTCTGGGAGGAAGGATTTTTATAGCAGGGAGCCCTGCTGGAGAACACTTAATGGTGGCACCTGGGTTTCCCAGCTAGTCTGATTATAGACAGTGCTCGGTATTGATCCATTGTGAAGCCTCGCCCCAAAACATCAGGCCCTGACTTGACAATTTGGAGCCTGATCCTGTATCAAGCTGTCTCGTTTGGGAGTCTCTCCACTGTTTGACCTACATCCAGATCAACATAGATGCATCAGCCAGTGAAAGTCATGGCAGATCCTTTTTCCCCCATGCTTTTGCATGCCATGCTTGGAGGCAGCCTCTTCATCCATTCTTTAGGGCATGCCGAAATCCCTAAACTCCTTGGGAAATCCAGGAGCAACATGATCTGGTTAGAGTATCCTCTCTGGATGACCTGCCTATGGAAACTGCACCTGTACTCATGTCTGCTATAGAGGCAAAACCTGGTGGACAGGAATGGAAGTACCATGCCAGCCATGATTTTGATTCATTAAAGAAATGTCTACTCTGGGGTCTCTGCCTTCATTTGCATATCTTGGGGTATAAGATCTTGCTTCAGACCTACTCTTCCTTTGAATCAGGGCGGGGAAGGAGGGAATGAGAACAGGAATAGGGTGCGGCAATTGTGTGTTTTTTTTTCTTTTGGGGACAGACCACACCTGCTCCCTCAGACTCCAGTTTCAAGGCGCCGTGCAGCCTGCTGGAGCCAGAAGACCTCTGGAGAGGTAGATCCATTGCACTGAGATTGAAGCAAGATGCCATTTCTGCCACAGCTTGCAGATGCAAGAAGGTGGGGAGGGGGCTTCACTCTTGCAGTCTGGAAATCAGGAAGATAAGGTGGTGCAGAGGTAGGATCGCTGCAAGTCTTGCTGGATCCAGAGCATGAGGATGCAAAGACATCTGTGTAATGAAGCCTCCTAACCTGAGCCTTCCACCTTCTCTCATGGACTCGCATTTTAGCCCTACACCATCTTCCCAGAAAACCCTCCCAGAAGGAAGAGTACTGTATTTTACTAGCCAGGTGCTTGGGGTCCAGGCAAAAAGGTAAGTACTTGTTAGTAACTGTGCAGCAAAGCATTTGCTGTAGTAGGACGACTCACTGTCATGCAGCCACAGTGTCGCCATTTCCAAATATTTACTCTAGTCGTCCCATTCCTGCTGTTCCCTGCTAAAGGGTGCTGGATTCAATATTACTTCAGGTTGCTTGGTGGGGTGGATGGGTTTCCCTCCCTGGAGGTACTCGTCCTCCCAGATCAAATACCCACAGAGCAACAGAATGAATACACTTCTTCAGTAGTTGGCTCCATGCTTCATGGCCTGTGACCACTTATCCCACCCCTACCACCAGCTATACCAAACCTCACAACCCTGAGGAACTGGCACAGGGAGCCGGCATGGGAAGTTCCCACTTTTATATAGTCCCATGCAAGGGACATGAAGGTCTGATTCCCCTCAAATTAAATCTAGGTCTCCTACATTCTTGGGGAGTGCTTTGACCACTGAGCTACTGGAGGAATGGGGAGACTGCCCCACTTCATCTGGATGCATTTTTATGGGGTTGGCACCTAATTGCAAGAGGCTAAGGGTTGTGAATTCAGGTTGGGTAGCAGGGAAGGACCTGAGTAGGATACCTCAGTTCTGGAGAGAGACCAGGCTTAAGATGTACTGGTGTCATCAGCATTTCCTTCTGGCCAGCTGAGGCAGGCACCTAAACATCTGCTCTCAGTGGTGGCAGATGGCAGCACAAGAAGCAATGGTCTCAAGTTGCAGCAAGGAGCAATGGTCTCAAGTTGCAGTGAGGAAAGTTTAGGTTGAATATAAGGGAGAACTTGTTCACAAGGAGAGTAGTAAAGTGCTGCAACAGGTTACCTAGGGAAGTGGTGGACTCTCCATACCTGGAGGTTTTGAAGACCTGGCTAGACAAAGCCTTGCTGGGATGATCTAGATGGGGATGGCCCTGCTTTGAGCAGGGGGTTGGACTAGATGGTCTCCTGAGGTCCTGTCCAACCCTCATTTTCTATGATTAGACACCACAGTAATCAATGGCACGACACTCCAGTTCTTTTATGGGCTCATTTCTGATGCATTTTCTTTCTAGGCTCCAGAGTTGATGACTTTTGAATCAGGGTTTTGCAAATAACCTGAAGCATGTCCTATTCACTCTATGCCTGCCCATGACTCCAAATCCTGCTCTCTGTTATGTCATTAGGGTGCAAATGCAGGTAGGCTTTACTCTGCTGTTCCTGAGATAAATGTGACCTACATAAGCTCCCTGAAGAATATGCTGAAATCTGAAATATTACACGTGTAATTCAGTTTTCCTTAGAGAGGGATTCTCTCTTTAGCCACTTACTGAAATATCCGTTCAAAGTGGGTCAGCGAACTTTCCATTTCTGAAACCAGAAAGGTAGTTTAAGGTTACAGTGACGAAACCTTACCCTAAAGGAGGATGGTGGGTCTAGACCCTAACGGAGGATGGTGGGTCTATCAGTGGTCTGGGTCACCTCTGCTTTTGACATGTGACTAGATAACAATGACACAGCTTCAAAATTTAAAAAAAAAGAAAGAAAAGGAGAAAAAAACCTTTCTATGGTCAGATTTGACATGAAAACAATAAAATTATAGTACACACGCATACACATGCACACACACAAGCACTATATATCCAGGAGTATAACTCTTCTGTCACCAGCTGTCAGCAGCTTTAAGGACTAGGGTTGGGGTATTTGACC